ACAGCCAAGAGCTGAAGGGAAAAGCAGAGGAAACTTCAACTGGAAAATATTTTGACATAATTGACCCAGATGACAAACTAAACTTAAGCACATGTCAAGCACAGGGAGTGGTACAAAAGCATCGGCGGGGTCATACAGGAAGTTAAATCAAGCCAAGGTGAAGTCAGAGCTCCCAGAACACTGTATATTTTTGTAATTACTGCTAATTCAAAACAAAAAAAAGTTCTTTCAGCCCAAGCTCTTAAGTAACAACAAATAAAGCGTCAGGAATATTTTCAAACCTTTCCCCTGCCCCAACCCATAGCTGAAGCTCCTAATGAATGCAAATAATATTTTACAACACTGTAGTACAACATCATCTGTACCATCAGTTTTCTTAGTGTTAATGTCCTTAAACACTACTTACTGTCACTGGTGGGTTTGGATTGTTGTTTTGGGGTTTTTTTTAAGTGTTGCTTCATCATGTTTACAACAATTAGTGTGTCTCAGCTAAATTCCAAGGGGTTTAACCTTTGGAAGCCTAAATTTTCTGAAATTTTAAGCTGCTTTTTGTCACTATCACTGTGAGTTTTTGCATTGGTTGTGATTTTAAACAAACAAATATTAAAAAACACTAAACAGCAAGAGGAAAAACAATGCTTCCAAAACCATTACAAACATACAGAAGTTACACATTTTTTCTTGCTATTTATTTTGTAAACTCTGGTAATCTTCTTGTTGGACAGAAAACCGAACTCAAAGTCCCCTGTTGATATAATCCTGATCAAAAGCCTCCTGAAATTAGCAGAAAATCTCCCTCTGGTTTTAGCAGGCTGAGTAAGAAGGTAATGCAAAGCAGAATACCATTAACAATGTACCTTCCCTCCACTATGGCAGCATCCCAAGCTTATGGGCAAGTCAAGGGGCAAAAGGATTTTCTGATTCCTGTGGCCCTTATGGTACCATCAGCTAAGGAACACACTATAACTGGGTGATGGAGTTTACCTGGGTAGGTACCGTGATGGTGCCTCCCAGCCTGACAACATAAGAGCGAACTTCAGCATTCATTTTGGAATAGGTTAAAAATAAAAAAAGCACACTTGTTTTTATTTGGTAGTGAAACTAATTACCTACATACCACAATGAGAGAAAAAAAAATAATAATCCACATTCTCTGTAAGTTGCTTCCCAGGAAAGCAACAGAAAATCCATGACGAAAAATAATACTCATTAGATTCTTAGCACAATATAATGAGACAGGTTTTCTTAAGAATAAAATTTTTAAAACAATCCAAGAGGACAGTCATAACAAATCTAAATAAACTAAGATTCAAGACAAATGCAAATATAATTTTCTATGTCATACAGCAAGATAAGGAAGTTTCCTCCAAAAATATTCTTAGCATGTCACCATAAAGTCTTAGTGGTCTAATCAACATATGCTTCAAAACAGTAGAGATACCCACAACATAAACAGTCAAAAGAGAGGAAAAAAAGCCCACAGAAATAACAGTGACAAAGGGTTTAATTTTCTTCACGTTCAATTTCAGAAAGCTAGATGACATCTAAAGCAAAAATGTCAGAGACAGCTGTATATAACAGAGATGTGTCATCAGCCTGGCAGAAGCTGAAAATTATATTCCCCATCCTATTAATACTGGTAGGTTCAGTATCTGTATACCGTTTTCTTTTCCTATTAGTAAAAGAAATGCATAAAATACATTTCAGAAGAAAATTACTAACTTTGGGGCAAGCACAAGAGTGTGAAGAAGCACCAGAGTATGTATAATAGAAGGCTGACTGAAATAAGAATCCAACTAGATCAAGAAGTATTGATGTCAAGGCTGATGTTCAATCCTGAAGAATGAAAAAATTATCCTAATTCATGTATCCATGACTGAAAAACACTGAAAACTCTCCACGAAGTTGAGAACAATTCAATTGTCTTTTTGTAAGAGAGGTTTGGGAGGGGCCATAATCAAAATAACCACTAAAACCCTGAAAAGCCTCAATTCTGCAAGACATTTAGAAAAAAAAGTTGGTAGAAGGGAGCATGAAGAGCCATCCCCTGCAAAGTGGTTGACAACCTCCTCCCCAGTAAATTTAGCAAATATATTGTATTAGAGACAAAGGAAGTCAAGTGAAGGAATAAAAATAAACGATTCCCCTTAGGAATTATATGCAAGATTGCTTTGTAAAACAAACCAACCAACCAACTGCTTTTCTCTGGAAAAGCAAAGGGTCACTGATCTTGATGAAAATGTAGCTATAAAAAGTTTTGGCCAAATATCAAAGAGCTTGTTTACAAAAGGGCCACATTCATTGTAACACTAACCATTCAAACTTCACAATAGATTTCAGGAGAGAACAGGATGTAATGTCAAACATCTGTTATCACATTATTTTCTTCAGCTCCTCTGCTCAGAAATTATGTCTAGACTTCGCCCATCTTCCAAACCTTATTAGAGGCAAGTCAGACATGGGCTGGAGGCTGTGCCGTTTTGACCGTGCCTCATACAGCATTATGACAACCAGCCATGTCCAAGACACACGGAAATGTCACATTTTAACAGATTACGTATAACCCCGCTGAAGTACCTCATTTAAGAGAGCCAGCTGTCCAAACTGCAGACATTGCATAGACACATCTGGAAATGAGTGCAAAGCCTTCCTGGAGCCAGGCTGAGATAGGGCTGATACCTGTTGCACCCAAGCAGGACAGACAACTTAAGACAAGTAGAGTACATTCAGCACTTCCCAAGAGAATTGGACTCACTCTGCCCATGTATCTTAAATGTAACATGCAGACATAATAGGTCCATCTTCCAAAAAAAAAAAAAATAAAAATCACTGGACCAAGTAAGCACTGCATGTCAAGTACTTGATTTCCTCTAAGGTTTCCTGTCCGCAGTCCATTCTCGAGAAGGACCCAAAAACCTGAGCCACCTGAATTATCCTGGAAGAGTACACATATCCTACAGCCTGTACAGCAGACACTTTTCACCAAAATTACTTATTTGGGGCAGGAGACACTGGAAGGAAAATGAAAGTCTGAAAAGTAAGTTACAAAGAAACACTCTTCCATTTCAAAAAGCCTGATATCAGTTCCAGGGACAGATATTTCAGACATAATGCAGAAAACGGGAGAATTAATAGGACTATAAGCAAGAAAAGAAAAATCCCCTCTGTCAAAAAAATCCACCCCAAACACCAAAAAATTCATCTACTTTGGATTTATTGCAGGAACACATGCAGTGGAAATTAATTCATGCCTGTTGTGCTTTAAGAAGTGCTACACAGGCAATGATGTTTAACACATTTAGTACATGATGGATGTTGCCTTTTCTGTCCAGGAAGCAAATGTGAAGTTAGAGAAAGTGGGTTATGTTCCCTTCCTGGAGTCAACATATCCAAGGCTGGACATGCTCCAGAGATGTGCTTCTTGAAACATCTGTACATTCAATATTCAACCAGTTCCAGGCCAAGGGATTTAAACTGACAGAGAATAAAAGGCAGTTTCCCCAAGCCAGCCACTTCTGCTGCAGCTTGTCAATGTCACAGGCATTTGCACCATCAGAACTCCACCGGGAAGAAACACTGTGTTACTGTACAAAAGCATTTCGTATCAGTGAACCTTTGGATAATTCCTATTCAGCATAAGCCACCTTTTACTTTGGACAATTAACTGCATCAGTAAAAATGTCTGATGGAGTCTGCTGAATACAGGATAGCAGCAATGTTCAAATTTTAACTGTTTTTTTTTCAGACTGGTACCTTGTTTCACCACCCTCTCAGGCACCAGTACTTTGGGTGAGACAAAGGAATGTTTTCTTTTAAGCAGCACAGGAGGAAGAGGTTACCTTGTTTACCAGTAACTCTGAAGTACAAAGAATTACTTTGTCTTTATGGAAGAGGCAGTAAAGGTAGCGTTTAAGGGCTGAGGTTTTCAAGGCTGCTCTGGTTGATGTGACCGTGACCCAGAGGCCTGTCTGCAATACCAGGAAGCACAGGCAGTGAACGGCTGCTGGCTTCAGGGTCAGTGCAACTGCCTCTGCTCCCAGACAGAACAGGATCCAGAGCCACAGTTACAGTGTGTCTTAAAAGATAGGCAGAGGAGGAAGCTGTGTAGAAACTAACACAGAAAGCTTTTGAGTAAAGAGATGGTCAACAGACAAGAGTACGTGATCTTACTGCTGAGGAGATACTTATAAAATACTTAAACAAATGTTTTTTCTTGCACTTCATTAACATTCTGACACAGCTGCATGACTATCCCATGTGGAATCACTCTACCGTTTTTTTCTTCCTATGCATTGAAGCTCAATATCATTATTAAATAACTTCCATTCATACGTTTTCCATACAACCCACAGTAATCAATTACACTGATTCATAGGCAATGAAATCCAAAATTTTTCTATGAAGTGTCTCTTAATGCTGAGAAAATATCCTACTTATCCAAGAGTACTCCAAACAACTTTTTTGCAAACTTTCTAAAAATTGATGAACTATTTCCCCTGAAAAAAGGCAAATAGGGCAAGAAAAAAAATCTGTAGTGAAACATGAACAGTAAGATAAAGACTTTCTGGAAGAATGAAAGGGAATGTAAGAAACAAGATGATAGTATTTCCACGCAAGCCAGTAACAATCACAGTAGAAAATCTATCCACTATCTAGAGTTGTATTTCATTTATACTGGTTTAAGAATTTCATTGTTTTCATTTTAAAAAAATATTTTAAATAATGCAAATAATTAAGGTGTCATTATACAGCTTACCCACTCATCCAATATGTAATTTCTATGCTATCATAAAATAAATAATAAACTTTTTAAAAGCATGCAAGAAAGCACTAGTCCTTTTCATAAGAAAAAACAAAAATTACTTGCTATTTACAAGGTGTTTGCTGTAGTAGATATAACAATCAGAAACACTAAGAACCACTGGACTCTAGCATGGGAAACTGGTAAACTATTAATTGTTATGCAGGAGGTTAAGAAAATGTAAGACTAAATGGCCTACCTTCACTGCCAAGAAGTTGAGACCACTTTCATGAGCCAAAGCTTTTGCTATCATTGTTTTTGAGCACCCAGGAGGTCCATAAAGCAGCACACCTTTTGGAGGCTGAATCCCCATCCGGATGAAGGAGTCGGGATGTTTGAGGGGCCATTCAACTGCCTGCTTCAATTTCAGCTTGACATCTTCTAGACCTCCTATGTCTGACCAAGATACCTGCAAAGCAAACCATTTTGTTGAATTCAGACAATGGAGCAACACTATTAAAAAAAGAAAACAAAAATGCTCTGTAGAATGCATACTGATTATTTCATTAAGTTGTTTTTAATGAGTTGCTTCGTCAAAAAGCCTTTTTTTAAACAAGCAATTATTAATAGTCACACAAAGCAAAAGGGGACTAGACTTGCTTTATGCTGGAGGATGTCAGTAAAAATATTCTCTATCTACTTCAGAGGTCAATAACAAAACGTCAAAAAATAACAATAAAATGACAGCATGATCATACAGGCAGCAACAGTTTGCGTGATCACTAGCAAAGTCACGACTCAGTTCTCTTGTTTTTTAATGTGATGCTGATGCAGAATTTGAGATTACTTTGGTATCTTCCCTGAAGCAAAGGGCTGTATGAGCTCAAGCTGGTTTTATTTATAGCTGCAGAGCAAGGCCCTGATCCCAGCTGTATAATCCCACTAGTTGTGTTAGAAGTTTTGGGGGTTTTTCCACTTGCCAATACTATCACTCCCATACAGGACTTGGGCACTGGAAATTTCACTAGGAGCTTGAGAACAAACAATCCTTCAAACAGACAAGTATCTAAAGAAAATAAAAACAACACCCAAAAAAGCAACACTTAAACCCAACTGCAGTTAAACAACTGCAGTTAAACTTGCTCTGCTGAAGACACAAAACAGGCTTGTCAGACATACATCAGGACAGAACTAATATGTCCTACCCAAAACAGCAGATGGATATAAAACCTGCTACACCTCTTCCCACACTGCCATCAACAAGCCTGAGACTTTCCCCACATCCTCCAGCCTGTTCTTTGTCCTGTCACCATCCATTCCCATCCACTTTTAATATTAAACATGTCAAGACGTACCTAAATCAAATCATCTTCTGCCTTAAAACACTCTTCCAAAAGTTCACTAGACATAAATCACCCTTCAGCTCTGGGAAGTCAGCTACACTTGAAAGGCAAACAGTGTATTACTGAGAGGCAACATATTGCGTTTCTCCTGACTTGAAAACTGGTGTCACTTCATGCCTTGTCCCTTTTGCTGTTTTCCTGATACCAGTACACAGAGTGGAAACTAAAAGTAGGAAGTCCCTGAAAGAAGCAATTCAGTCTACTACTGAAGTGGAAGAAAGAGGAGCATTTGGATGTGGTGCAAGCACTTTTGTGTAAATCCAAGCAAACTGCAACCCAAAACTTCTCTTTGATTGTCAGTCTCTGACATAGAAGAAAAATCACAGAGACGGTGGAGAGCAAACAGCTAAAATCAATACACATGGGTCAACCCCTCAGAAATATTCTGAGTTTGAAGGCTAAACGGAAGGTGAGGAGCTGCCGATCTGCTCCCTGCAGAACATCACCTCTCTCACACCAGGAATATGCTACAGGAACTCTAGGAAAAAAAACCTCTTTCTTTCTCTTAGTGACCAAAAGCTTCTGGTTCTTAAATATCTACTTTATAAGCCTTGGGGAAGTATGAAGTATGTAGAGTTGATCACCACTGCCTACTAAGAAGGATCTGAGAGCAGAGGAATCTGCTAAAGGCAGGATTCCCTTATGGAAAAAGAAAAAGAAACACAAGAAAACCAGTAAAAGTCAGCAAAGTGAAAACTGAATCAGACACAGCAGAGCATCCTAGCAGCAGGGGGAGGCAAGATTTTAGCAGGGGCATTATCAAAGCAGCATGCCACTTGTGGTAACTTGCAAGCCAACTTTTGCAGCCTGACAATATTCCCTTCCAAAGTGCTGCTTTGTGCTACAAGCAAGACAAACTGCGCAAATCGTATTAAAGGAATGGTAGCAAACATGAAAGTGGGCTCTGCATAAGTCTCTAGTCTTGAAACGAAAGCGTATGAATTCAACAAAAACAGTAAAGGGAAAAATTCCACAACACTATGGAAACGAAGGGGGAAACAAAAGCATGAATTCCTACCACCTAACTTTAAGCTGGGTATCTTGGCCTAACCAACCCAGTCAAAAGGGACAGAGAGACTTCTCAGAGCAATGTGGCTTTGTACAAACTCTCTGTCAGAAGTCCAACAGGTGGTCTCACGTTCAGTTTCTCACTTTCCTTTAGAGGGAACATATGGCAACCAATTTAGGTACCTCAGTTAAATGTTTAAAGGTAAGAAGAATTCTCCCTTCCACCTGAATTTTCACAATAAGAGACAAAAATCCAGAGATAAAAATCTGCAGATTTTTAAACATAAAAGTTTATAAAAAGTGAAGACGTGTGTCAGATACTATATTTGCATCTTGTCACTGTTCCACCCATGCAAACCACCCCTTTTCCTTCAAATTTCATGGTCAAATAACATAATGAAACTCAGGACAGTTAATCCCAATCTTCTCTTCTTCTAAAAGCTGGTGTTTCTAAGTCAGATATGAAACAGTGTCAGTGTTTTAAATTTCATTATTAAAACACCTATTATAATACTATCACTACAACCCTTAATTCTACCTAGCAGCTCTGTAAACTGCACAGAACTAAATCCTGGCACTTTTAAACAACTTCTTCTTAGCGAAGAAGACATACATGAACTACTTCTCATTTTTCAGTATCAATCCTTACTCCTATGTGGTAAAGCATGGACAAGTCCCCTGTACTCCACATTCGTGAGGCCACATCTTGAGTATTGTGTCCAGTTTTAGGCACCTCAATATGAGAGAGATCTCGAGGTGCTGGAGCGAGTGCAGAGGAGGGCAACAAAGCTGGTGAAGGGCCTGGAGAACAAATCCTATGAGGAGTGACTGAAGGAGCTGGGACTGTTTAGTTTGGAGAAGAGAAGGCTGAGAGGAGACCTCATCACTCTACAATTACCTGAAAGGACATTGCAGAGAGGTTGGTGCTGGTCTCTTCTGACAGGTAATTAGTAATAGAACGAGAGGGAATGGCTTTAAACTGCAACAGGGGAAGTTCAGACTGGACATTAGGAAATAATTTTTCACAGAGAGTGGTCAGACAGTGGAACAGGCTTCCCAGGGAGGTTGTGGAGTCACCATCCCTGGATATGTTTAAGGGTTGTTTAGATGAGATGTTGGGGGATATGGTGTAGGGGAGAACTTCGTAGAGTAGGGCTAATGGCTGGACTTGATGATCCCAAGGGTCTTTTCCAACTTCAATGATTCTGTGTGATTCTTTGAGTCATTCCTGTCATCATGTCTTTCTAGCTAAACAAAGATTTTGACAAACATGAACAAGAACTTCTTAAAACTAGTTAAGCTATTGGGAATTCCCTGTAACTTTCACCAACAGAAGGCAAAATCCATTAGCAGTACTTTGCACAGACATAAAGCGCCAGAGGGAAAACACCTAAATGTTATTTTTACCCTCTTGCATATATTCAGACTACTGCAGAAGACTTCTGAGGCATTATTCAAATTACTTTTCAGACCCACTACATGTCATTTAACATCAACACAAGTGATAGAATTGTACAGAAAAGGTGAAGTAGGGCCACCTTACATAGGTTGTTTTTAGTAATCTGGAGATTTACTCAGATTTTACTTACATTTAAAATCAGAAAGGAAAGAAAAGGAAGAAAACTGGGTCAGGACACACAAACAGGGCCACTACACGTGAGCTTGCTCATTATGAGTTAAAAAAGAAAATTATTAACTAGTCAAAAATTCAGTTAACTTATTTAGAATTTCTGTAATACAAGGTGTGTAATTCAAGCAGCAATGGTGTTAAAAGCAAAAATAGGTAATAAAACACTACCTTCACATTCTGGTCAAGTCCTAAATCCAATAACAAGAAAACACTCAAATAAGAATTCTTTTAAATTCATATAAGCTTGGAAGAACTAGGTGGGTTGATCTTGTACACAAATCCTCAGTAACTTCCTGACTACAGTTAACACAAACTCTAGTCACACATTCGGACAGCTAGTTATGCTTCTTTTACCTGCACGTGAACTCAGAGGAAAGATATTGCAACACAAGCAATGAAGTGTGATATTCTGTCACTGTGGAAATGGTTTTAAAGACTAGCCTTGGGGCTGAGCTTACACATACAAAGACAGTGCTCTGCTACAGTGTGTAAGACACCAAAATTTCATTACTGCCATAATCTTTAGCTCTCCCCAGGTCAACAGCTCAGAATACGATGCAGAGCAGCAACTCCCCAGAGGTTGTTAAGCAGCAGCAATAAAGAAATAAAGCAGACATGCAAAGGATGTCTCATCCAGAACCTTTTGGCTGCAAAGACACAAATTTGAGTGTTCAATTACAGTAAAGGGAGTGAAACAGGCAAGCAAAACCCATAGCACTCTACAAAAATTTCAGAAAGACCCATAGGAGAGGGAGGAACAGCAACTACAGCGCAACTCTCCAAAGAACTGGAGTATTAACTTCCTGATTTATAATGTGCATCCCCTCTCCCCTAAATCCCTCCTGTAGAAAAAGCAGCCTTCTAAAAAGTTTGTAACATATAGCAAAGTTCAAGAAAGGTTCTGTAAAAACAGAAAACAAGATGCTACCTGGAACCAGGCAGCAAGTATTTTGCATTTACTTTGGTCACAGGCAACATGCACAGAAATTCTAACTCAAGTGGAAGAACAACAGAATGCAGAAAGGAGGAACACCAAAAAAAAAAAAACAAAACAAACCCAACCAACCTTAAAAGCACACAGTGGCACCTCTGACTCCAACAGCTCCTCCTGCACACAAGCTCACTTTCTGTCTACTGCCCCAAAATCACTTCATTTTGGCTGTTTTCCCCACCAGTAATTTTAAGTATGTTTGGAATTAAAAAAAAAAAGCTCAATTCATGTCAATGACAAAACCCCTAATAATTAGCACATCATAGAGCACTTTTCAGAAGCAGACTGCACAGCATGCTATAAAGGTTATCAAATATCCTCAGACACCAAGTGACTTGCTCCAGGCCACCCAAGTCACTTCTAATATATCTCCTTGTTCTTTAGCTACAAGTCTACACATTAAAACCTATTCCAGGTTTTAAATATAACAAAAGACTGCAACAGTGCAATTTAGCCTAGCAGCGTTCTAAACAACCAAGCAACTAGTGCTCAATTCTAGGACCTAAAAAGCAAAAGACTGACTTTACAGCCTACTCAAAATTCTGCAAATTTCAGAGAACGAGCTCTGTGTTGATTAAACAATTTGGAGTTCATGGTAAAAAAAGTAATTATTTTCATTTAGCATCAGAGATGATACCAGCTTCAAAAAAACCCAACAGCCCACAAATGGCAAAGGTGTCACAACAATAAGGGAAGGAGCCCTTCAACCAAATTCATTTACATGGGGCGTTATTTAGAAGTTACTTTGAACTCTTCTCATTCAATTGACACATGGCTACTGCAAAGTAATGAAAGATGAAAAAAAACCCACCATTGAAAAACAAAAAGTAAAAAAAAAAACAAAAAACCAAACCACAACACAAAAGTCTCAATTTCAGCATGTATGTCAACTGTTTTACTTGTAACTAACTTCATAGCCCAAAAGTTCCATCCACACCAAGAGGGTTGCCAAGTTGAATATCACCTCTGTGATAAACAGCAAAAAAGTGTGTATTATTAATGTAGCTCAGACTTCTGTCTTCTCTTTGGAAAATAAAAATAAAAATCTCATAGCTGATCACTTATTTAGCATTTGAAGTTATTTTTAGCAAGGAATTTTTAGACAACAGTGTTAAGGCCAGATTTCAAAACATGAAGGAATGTAATCCCCAATTTTCTAACAAACTTACCCACACTGTTAACTGTCTGGCTGGAAAGCTTCTGGGGCAAGGAGAGTAGGGGAAGAAAATTTTATCCTTACAGACAAGGTATCTGGAGATTAATCAAGATAGGATGATTGCACAAAGATACATTAGCCAGGAAAAATAAAACCAAAACACAAGTTTTAGGTTTCTTGAAAAAAACAGGACTCTTGTCTGGTTCATGCTTTCTGTTTTCCACACACTCAGCTATAATTTTTACACTTTGGTAAGAAGTTTCTTCCCCTGCACTGCCATCCCAGACACCTAGCTGCAGCATAACCAAGTTCCTTCAACTAACCCACGGACTTGAGCTGATTTAGGGCACTTCCCCACCTCAAATACAAATAGTAATGGAGTAATTAGCCTTGAGTCTGGTGGTGGTGTTACAAACCTGGATTTAGCTACTGTGACTTTCATGGACAGCTCTGTCAGTATTTCCAGGTATTTAGATTTCATCTGAGCATGCACAGGTACCCTTGTTTTAGTAAGATGGTAGCTCTGCAGCCCAAAATAATGGTTAAACGGAATGGCAGCACCTCAGTTGGCAAGCAACATGGGAGAACAAAACCTGTTTGCATCTGGTCCTTTAGACTCCACTTCAAACTCACACGAGGCAGCAAGCAGATGGCCTGAAATATATCCTACATCTTCACAAAATAGGCATTATTTTGTAAAAAAGCAGGTCCTGTCAGCACAAAAGGAATCTGCACTATGTTGTTATCTTCTCTTCAATAAGGAATGAATTTCAGTAGTATTCCAGGGACTCAGCTGGTGTTTAACAAATAAAAACAAGAGACAATCAAGGAAGCCACTGGCAGGATGGTTCATTGGACAACAGGAGCCTGAGCAGTAGGCTGACCTGGATTCCGAACAGATTTTGTGCAGTACCTTGAGTTCTGTGTTTAATGTGCTGTTTAGCATCACTCCATCTGGCTCCAAATGGATTGGCATGTCTAAAGACACAGCACAGTGATAGTGACATGAGTCCAAGAGCCAGTAGCACAATAAGCAATGAGAGAATTAGTAACTCTGGTTCTCAGCAGAACTAATTAGCCCTTGTGGATATTGATGCCACTACAGCATTTCCAGGAAAAGCTGTCTGGGGACAGCCCAGGCATTTCCACCCAGCACTTCACTGCACAGTGTGGACTCTTAACAAGCCAAGTGTGATATCCGAGCTGGCTGTGTGCAGCATCCTGTTTGCAGATTTTATTTCCCATTCCTATAGTTTGGGAATAAGGGTCTACAGTTGTGCAATCTAATTCCCAGATGACTCATCTTCGTGCAATGAGACATACATGTTTTCTTCTAGGGCTTGGGGATCTGCTGAGAAACACCAGCACAATGGCTTGCAGAATCAAGATTTAATAAGAATACATTTTCTTTTGCTGAATCTTAAGTCAGATCAGAGTCTCCTTAAACCAGATCAGGTCCCCAGCCCAATTTATGTTGTGTTTGCTACTGAACTACTATAATACATAACTGTGAGGGCAGTGAGTGGGGTAAAGATGAACCTTGCATCACCCAAAGAACTGTTCATATAATGATAGCCCCTGTCAGGTAGCCACTTGGCACTGATAACCTACCTACCGTATCTACTTCTGCCCTCAGTTAAAACCCTCTAATGCCACTGAAGACGTTCAAGCTACAGTAGTAGCTGCACTTAGAATTAGTCAACTGCTTTACATAAAATCACAGCAGTCAATCTCTCCACAACTTTGTTTTAATACACTTTGGTTACAAATGCTAACAGTTGGTTTCTGCTTGTGCTTGCTTTACAAAAGGCTCCAGCTTTCACTCCAGCTATTCAAGATCTGCTTTGAGCAGACATCTTAAAATTTTTACTCCATTAATCCCCTCAGCATATAAAAATACAGATCAGGAGATATACTCCTGCATTGCCAACTCTTCCTAAAGCATTAGGAACTTAAGCTTCTGTAAATGGGTCTTCAAAATTATAGTTAAACAAATATGCAAACAAAAAGATGATGCACAATATCTACTGGTAACTTCAGGCTCTCACTTCACAAAATTCCTCTTTTTGTAGGGCATTTCAACACCTAACTGCAACTCCTAACGTGGCTCTAACAACATTACTAACATATTGCAAAAAATAACTTACTTTTGGCACGTCAACTGCCACCTCTCTCATGGCGCTGGGCCTGACATCATTCATCCCCTGAAGGAAGTCACTGAAAGCAATCATCACTGACCCAGCCACCTCGTTGTCTAATAGGTTGGGTCTTTTCCCCAGTGCTCTCCGCAATGCGTATAAACCTATTAAACAAACAAACAAAAAAAACAAACAAAAAAAAAAACACATGGAAATATGTAGATTTCCTCCTGGTTCTCATAAATGTAAGTGTACAACACACAAACATGCAGCAGGACTGGAAAGGAAATGATGTTCAGAAGAATGTCATGATGCCAGGCCTTAACGATGTTAAGGAAAAGGCAAGACACTTCTGATGAGAGCGCAAGAAAAAGGGGATTTAATGACCACAGACACAATAGAACCTAAATCTGTTCAAAACAACAAAACAGCTTTGTCCCTGTCTTCCCAGAGATGAAGCTAACAGGGCAAAACCTCCAAATGCCCATACATCAATTCAAACACATTTCTAAACCACAGAGGAAGACAGATAGCAAACATTCAAGGCAAATATTAAATCGGCTCGCATAAGACATCTGCAACCTTATCTATTCCTCTAGTATCAGGATTGTGTTTTCCAAGTTGCTCTAAAAAACAAATTTGTAAGATTTCTCCTACTTTCATTAGAAGCCTATTTCGCTATCTAGCAAAATGACAGATATCTCTATTTGTCTTGATATGCAACAGACGTTCCCCATGACAGTCAATAGCTCTTCACTGCCTTCAGCGATCACACTTTTCAAACACAGGCATAGTTTTTACCTTCTCCTTCGTTTGGCCAAATCATTCGCATACAATACCTATAAATCTCAATGCTAATTCCTAGCTTCCCCCTATAATTCAATCTTTCAAAAGCCACACAAGTCGCACCCACTCACACATCAATATATCAGTGCTCCTCAGCAGGACCAAGCAGTACTATCTGTAGCTCCCGGGCATTCCCCAGAGAGCACAACTACAGCCCCCATTGTGCAAGATGCCCTGAAACATCATGGTTTTCCCACTCTATAATTACGGCCTTTAAGGTCTAATATAATTTGGTGTTCTATTGCTTCTATTGCCAACTTTGTTCTATGAATGGAAACTGGTGAATGTGTCGTTTAGTATATTACGTGAGTATAACCTTATATACAGGTATACACACATCCGCACACATGCAGATAATGTAATATCTGTTATCATGTGTTACAAAAGATGAGGCAGTATGACACCAGTTTGCCTTGCATGACCATAAAAAGACAAACATTTGTTAAATCTTTTCTATATTTAACCAAGCAAAACATCAATTAGGGCTACATGAAAGAACAATAAAAGGGATAAGCCATTTCTGAAAATAGACATGGTTTTAACTTTCAGTGGATTGTGCCTTTTTTCTATAGAGGCACCGGTAGATGCAGACATGCAAAGTTTCTGACAATGACAGGAATTCTGCATTTCCTACAATATATACAACGTGTGAAGAGATATTATATCTCCCCTGTGAAGCAGTACAGATGGTGTCTCTCCATAAACTGCCAGTTATGGCAGTCTGAGCACCTGCATTTAATACCCAGGCTCTTAATACAATAATGGAAAAAAAAAAAACAAAAAAACAAAAAAAAACAACCAACCAAAACAAACGGTTTGTAATTCAGGTTTCCCCCTGCACAGAACATCCAAAACTAATAAGACATATAAATAAAAACATTCCATGAGGCCAAGGAGAAAAATGAAAACCTGGTCACCAGAGGACAAGTATAAAATAACTGACTCATTTTAACAACCCAGACAATTTTCATGTTATTCCTCCCCACCTTCTTCCTTCCTCTGAAACAGTTCATTTTAAGCAAACAAAAAACTTAAGCAAGACAACAGATATTCACCTCCCCCAGATTTAAAACTTACATCCAAGCAAATAACAAACCCTACATCTTATTCTAGTGTCACTTCAGCTAACTCTTTGGAGGGTGGGAACAGGTATTGGGATTGAGTCCTACATTTTCTCTTTCATGAAAGTCAATTCACATGGCACTCTCACTTTAAAAAAAAAAATGAAATAATAAATAACATAGCATGAAATTAAGTCATAGAGAACGCAAGTGATAAAAATCTCTGCTCCTCATTTCTGTACCTATCTGTTCCATCAGATACCAATTTAGCCCAGTGATCATTGGATGCATTTTAATTGTATCACAGTTATCTTTTTTCCACAAGATGGGGAAGTCTTAAAAACAAACAGATTTATTTTAAAAACTGAGAAAGAACAGCATGTAAAAATGCCCAAGGAGAACACTGCTCTGAAGGACCATTACTGCCAGTGCTACTAGGAGTACGAATGAAATTTCAGTCTTCAGCAGTGGGTTTGAAATGCAACAGCCTTGATCCAGAACAGAAATAAAGAGGTCATGGCTTTCCAAACAAAGCCTGAATTCATTTCAGCATGTGCATGCACATGCCACTGCACAGGTCAGCATTTAATTGAAACAATGTTTTACATTAAAACAATAATAAAAAACAGATTGAAAAAGAAAGCATGATTCTTCCTGTTTCCTCCTGTTATCATAATCATTTTTTCCTGCACTTCAGATTGACCTCTAACCAGAGGGGGAGAAAAAAAAAATCTTATTAACAGAAGGATACAAGCCAGTGACTTGCCAGAGGCAAAAAAAAAAATCCTTGTCTTGAGACACTGAAAGATGTATTTAACTTAAGGAAATGCAGGATAGGGTGCAAAAGACACTGCTAGAAGCCACACAGAAGCAAAGGTGGTGAAATACTACAGCAAACCCAAGTTTATTACTATAGAAGTTATAATGCAGGTAAACTGCGCATTCAGACGTAGCACCTCAGAAAAGATCAAGCATCTCTGCTTAGCTGTTGGGCATCTTTCACATGGGAATGCTCTTGTCTGACTATATGTCATTGCTGTAAACTGCCTGAGCACAGCACTTGTTTCAGCTTTGCTTGCTCCTTTTCAGATGCTACTTCATTCTTATGGGTTAATGAATATCAATAGCCTTTTGGCAATAATAGAGGATGCTCAGAAGTGGGCAAGTCGGTTTTCACGGTTTTATTACAGCAGAGTCCTGGGTGAGGGAAGGACGCAGATGTAGTTAGTCTGCCATATGGTCGGTGGGAATGTTTGCACAGGCATGGGCTACCTATTTCTAGTAAAGGGATACATGACTGGTGCCTAGGACTACTCTGCAGAGCAGAAACTTAACTTGGGAGGCAGCCTTTGCAATAGTGTGCAGTGGAGTATAAATGGAAAATCCCAGTTTTAAAAAAAAAAAAAAAAAAAGATAAATTAAAAGAAACATGTGCAATAAGTCATGCATGATTACAAACAATGGAAAGTAAACAATTTGTTCCAGTCCAGCAACTGTGTACTCTACCTCACCAACTCATCCTGTCTGTCTAGAACAGAGGAAACTAAGTGGACAGGAGAGGGAAAAAAAACAGCAGAACACCCTGTCCTGGTACAGACGATCCTTCTTTGGTACCAGGCTATGCATGAGGTTGATAGCATTGTTTCTCTAAGTTTCTCTTGCTCACAGCTTGGCTAAGTGTTGGCACATTAGATCATAATCACAAATGTCTAAGCCTAAAATAGACTCTACAACACTGCTATATTTGTCAGAGTCTGTGTATAATTATACACTACTGTAAATAATAGAAAGCATCCACTCAAAACGATGAACATGTATAGTTTAAGTTTCAAAAACTTAATATGCACAACACTTGAGGAAATTAACTGAACAAAACAAAATTGTTAATCATCCATCTCTCATTGCCCATCAGCTACTTTTTCTGCAGATCCATCTTGTCTGGACTTACTCTACTGGAATCCTAATACCAGAATTTGTAAGTAGCTTCAAAGAAACTGAATTCTTCTTGTAAAATTGTTTACAAAAAGAAATGTTTCTTCTTTCCCCACTAATCTGACATTTCCCTCCAAAATTATTACGACCAAACCCAGAAGACACACACCATTTCTCCCTGTGACAGCTGTCAGATCCAACATGACACTGCACTGCATGGCTGGAAGTGGAATGCTCAACAGCATATGGAAAGATTTCAGCTTCCTAATTGCACCAGATGGGCCATATTTGCATACTATACTTCAAAATTTAACAGTTTTATGCACAGAAAAAGCATTCCATGTAACAAAATAAATTTTGAACTTTAGAAACCATAAGAGAAGCATACCTGACTTCACAGGCAATGGATATAAAAGTTATTCCAGTGTTTAATATTTTTTGAAATAAGAAGCTCTTCTGCTTTCTATTTGGCAATTTTTAATCAGCATGGCTTTCTGCATTCATTCATGACAACAATCCCAAAACTATACTAGGAAGTCTTTTATAGAACTTCAAATATCACATGCTACAAATCACACATATTCTTGAACATATCATAGCCTCATAAACAAAGGGAGTTTATAGCACCTCATTACATTAACATCTTGAACGGTCAAATCCAAGAAAAAAAAAAGAGAACACGTGTTATGTATGTTGTTTGCAGTTATGCATAAATAGAGTAACACAGACACAGCCTGCTTGCCTAGCAGATGGAAGTCTCAACATTCCCTGGTAAGGACCCGGGCTCCCCTGAGAGTGTCCCACAGACACATCCTCACCTCTTCAGTCAATCTTTCACCCTGTGCAGCCCCAGCAAAACAGCTGTCCTACCCATCACGGTGAGACAGCACTAGGTAAAACAAGAGCAGCTGCCACGAGCACTGAGGGACAGCAGGGACGTGTCTAGGCAAAGGCTCTTTCTCCCATTACTCCCCAGATAATGGAGTAACAGCACCAGGTAAGCATCTGACCTCTGTGGACCACTAGCAAGCTTTCCTCTGACCTGGGGGCAGGAACCACCATTCATAGTAGCTGAATAATTCAAATGTGTTCTTCCATTTGCATCCTAAGAAATTTCTACAATGTGGAGTGTTTTATTTTGTTTTGGTGGTGGTGGTTGGTTGGATTTTGTCTTTTTTTTTTCTCCCAGTGTACATAAGTATGGAATCAAACACACCAACAACTTTACCAAAGAATTAAAAAAATAAAATAAAATAAAATCCATGGACCAGACTCTTACAAATGTTTTAAACTTACTTATTTTTTATTTCATCTGCATATAAAAT